AAGCAAGGATTGCTTTTTTCTATATGGACATTTGAGGAAAACGTCACTTTTTATTCTAAAGCCGTTTACTTTACATTAACCTTTACAAATATGCCACATTGATTTGGTTACCTTGTAAGGTTTTAAGAGAGAACCGAGACTGCATTAAGTGCTGAAAAATCTAAAACAATTGGGAACTCACACAGTTTATTGTTTTTTTCTTAAAAAACATCCTCAAATGGGGGCACCTGGGTGGCTCAGTTGGTTAAGCATCCCACTTCGGCTCAGGTCATGATCTCGCAGGTTGTGGGTTCAGGCCCCATGTTGGACTCTGTGCTGACAGCTCAGAGCCAGGAACCTGCTTTGGATTCGGTGTCTCCCTCTCTCTCTGCCCCTCCCCCACTCACACTCTCTGTCTGTCTCTCTCAAAAATAAACATTAAAAAAAGTTTTAATTTAAAAAATTACAGATGGATTTTTTTTTTTTCAACATTTTTTATTTATTTTTGGGACAGAGAGAGACAGAGCATGAACGGGGGAGGGTCAGAGAGAGAGGGAGACACAGAATCGGAAACAGGCTCCAGGCTCTGAGCCATCAGCCCAGAGCCTGACGTGGGGCTCGAACTCCTGGACCGCGAGATCGTGACCTGGCTGAAGTCGGACGCTTAACCAACTGCGCCACCCAGGCGCCCCACAGATGGGTTTTCAATGATGTAAAAGAGATGAGAACAGAAGGTAAAAATGGTCCTTCAATGAGGCGTAGAGGCAGCCTTGAGAATGTGTACTTAAAGAAAATCTCTATGGCAAAAAAAATCATAGCATAAATAATCCTGGGAGGCAGTACAGGATGGTGGTTAAAAAAAAGGCTCGGAGTCCAAAAGCCCTGGTTCACTCATCAGGTATATAACCTTGTGCAAGATACCTATCCTCCCCGTATTTAGGCTCTTCCTATTTAAATGAGGTTGTTAACAAAACCCATCTCATAAGATTGCTTGCTGTGAAAATTAAGTAAGGTAATTTATAAAATGCCCGTAGGACAATGTCTGGTAATTGCTCAAGAACTGGTTAGCTATTAAAAGCAGAAAATGTCATTATCATTACTGCACACATGAATGGGCGTGGAGAAGGTAAGTTAAAAAAAAAAACAAGGATAATCATAGGTCTGCTGCTATAAACCTAAATGATAGAGTTGACGTATTGTAGGTGCTCACTAAATACTGAATGACCAAATCAATCAATCAACCAATCAGTGAATGAATCAGTGAATAGAGTCACAGGAAGCAACGCTTAACTTTCAGAAAAGCTAAAATCTTTGTCTTCTGCAGGCTCCTTGCTCCCCTCTACTCTATCCGTAAGAGAACTTATCCACAGAACTCAGAATACTCTTCCTATTCCCCATGCAGCATTTCAGTTTCAGTGCAGTACATTTTCAACTTTTTCCAAAACTAGACTAAAATAAACATGAGGACACAATGAACTTACAAACACTTTAAGTGACCTCAACATTATGACAGAAGAAAAAGATGTTCAAAGATGAGGTTATATTTAACACACCCTTTATTTCTAACTAGTATGACTTGAAATATATGTGTCTTGTGATAATATGTGTATTTTTTAATTGTTGTTGCTTTTTGCAAAAGGGTAACTATAAAAGACAAGGTACGGTGTTGAGTGAGGGAACAGGAAGGGAAAGCCAGGATATTGGCTGTTTTCCTGCCAGTACGAGAGGTATCCGTTATTCTATGTTCCTTCAATTCAGTTATGTACCTTCAGAAATTACTTTCTGCTTCCTTCCAATTCTGAACCAGGAGCAAAATCACAAACACATTCGACAACAATATGTTCCTCTTGCGTAAATGTCTCTTCTAAGCCGCATACATAATTAAAATCCTGTTGACTCAGGAATAACGTCTCAGAACTGAATGTCCAAACTCTGTAACTTGCTTCCTTTTCTAACCAGACAGCACAGCTGCCAAGAGCTTCTGGGCCCTCTGCCTCTTTTCTTCATGTATAATTATTATACATTATATAGCATATACTTGATTTGCCAAAGCCTGCCAGAAAAGGTTGCTGTGACTACTCATTTGAACTCTGTTTTTGGTCACATGTATACACAACATAGTGTGCCAAAGCAAAAGAAAAAAAGGAGGTGGGGTGGGAGTGGATGTGCTTAGCAATTTTTTCTTTCCCCATGGAAATGAGATGGAAGCCATATATATAGGAGATATATATCTAAATCCATATAGATAGATAGGTGACACAAAGATATATATCTTTGTATAGCAAACTTTACTTAAGGTGGAAGAATATTTTAAAAATCAATGATGTCATACTATAACACAAATCCTTAGTTTCCAATATTTGAAATGAGGAAATAGATTTTAAAAGGTCTTCAAAATATATATGAGGCATAAAATAAAGCTCTTTGGCTTTCCTTCAGCTTTGGGCAGCACCAGATTTAAATCAGACACAAAAATCTGTCCTATTTTTAAAGACGTCTAGAGAAAGAGGTTGCACAATGTTTCTTAGGAAGTTGTTCCAATATTCCTCCCAGTCATAAAACTTACCTTTTAACCTAAATCCCTCACGTTCTGGTTTCAGTCCACTTCCTTCTGCTCTGCCTAAGTCGGGTTAAAGAACAGTTGCTCACTTACCAAACCAACATTATGACAATATTCCCAGTGCTGTGTGTTCTTTTCAGCAATGGAAATTAAACACACAGCCTGCAGTTGGCTGGATCTCGTCTATTCCTTCAAAACTATTTAGATAGGATATTGGCTCTCTTTCAGTTTTCTGAAAGTTCTCCATTCTTCCACAAATTTTCACAAAAACATGTCCTTCTTTTACAGGATTTACTCAATTATTTTAGTGCATATCTATATAAGCTACAAATAATTGGAGGTTTTAGTATCTATAGATAATTTAAATATATATAATTATAATTATAATTATTATTTTTTTTTTTACTGGATAGTTCCCTACTTGCATTCAGGTTTTTGTACCTTAGTTTAGAACTTATTTCAGAAAAACAAGGATCATCAAACTTTGGTGTGTATCAGAAAATTAGGGAAGTTTCTTAGAAATAAGATGCCCCAATCTTGGCCCAGACTCAGTAAATTATAATCTTAAGGGCCTGACATCTTTTAATTGCTCTCATTCAAAAGTCTTAATTTGGTTTAGTCAACTAGAGCATTAAAAAAAAAATTTTTTTTTTAACGTTTATTCATTTTTGAGGGACAGAGCATGAGTGGGGAAGGGGCAGAGAGAGGGAGACACAGAATCTGAATCAGGCTCCAGGCTCTGAGCTGTCAGCACAGAGCCTGACGCAGTGCTCAGTCATGAACCATGAGATCGTGACCTGAGCCGAAGTTGGACAGACGATCAACCGACTGAGCCACCCAGGCGCCCCAACAAGAGCATTTTTTAAAGCTATCAAAACCATTGTTAAAATTAGAAAAAACAGGGGCGCCTGGGTGGCGCAGTCGGTTAAGCGCCCGACTTCAGCCAGGTCACGATCTCGCGGTCCGTGAGTTCGAGCCCCACATCGGGCTCTGGGCTGATGGCTCAGAGCCTGGAGCTTGTTTCCAATTCTGTGTCTCCCTCTCTCTTTACCCCTCCCCCATTCATGCTCTGTCTCTCTCTGTCCCAAAAATAAATAAATGTTGGAAAAAAAATTTTTTTAAAAATTAGAAAAAACAAACAAAACAAAAAAACACACAGAAAATAAATGTGTGCTCTTTTTCCCTTTGGTAAAGCCAATTCTGCTTTTGCTGTTAAAACTGACACATTAACAGAGTCACATATTTGGTGCTGCACTGAACACTCACATCGTAATTCCCATTAGCCGGAAAATCAAAACCAAACCTACTCCATGCCTACAAGTTTCCAACACTAGAACTAAATGCTCTGCCAACAGGCTATTGATGTATAAAACTTTATGGCAGATATAGACTAGCACTTTCTGCAAGTACATTTGGCTATATTATAATGTATTCAACATAAGCTATGGGGTAGCTTTCTCAAAATTTCAAATGGGTTCTGTGGATATGTGCTTATTTAAAGGACCCTGAATGGCAAGGTAAAGAAAGAACTGATTACTGTATAAAACAACATGGAAGAGAACTATCAACACAATGGGACGAACTGAAGAGGAGTGGGAAGTTTCTGTGTGACAAGCAAGAGTATCTTTTCCAGGAAATTTTTTTTTTTAATTTTTTTTTCAACGTTTATTTATTTTTGGGACAGAGAGAGACAGAGCATGAATGGGGGAGGGGCAGAGAGAGAGGGAGACACAGAATCGGAAACAGGCTCCAGGCTCTGAGCCATCAGCCCAGAGCCTGACGCGGGGCTCGAACTCCCGGACTGCGAGATCGTGACCTGGCTGAAGTCGGACGCTTAACCGACTGCGCCACCCAGGTGCCCCTCTTTTCCAGGAAATTTTAAAGTGAATTTAAGTAGGTCTATGCTTGGATCCTAAATCAGATGGTCATATTATTATTATTAGTGTTGAATTGCCATAAAAGAGGAACACCGGAGGCTTGACTCCATGATTTTGCCCAGGTGGGCTTAGTTTTATTTTTCTCTGACATTCTTAAGCATCAGTATTGGATTACCCTAAGGGTCTGCCTTAGAAAGTCTGTGCTCTGCATTTTCCCACAAGCACATGAGCAAGAGGGAAAAAAAAAAAAAAAAAAACCCCTCAAAGCTACTAAAGCAACCACAGAAATGCAGGTCAAAATGAAAAGGGCTCAGAAATCGAAGCAAAAGCAAAGAAGTGAAAGCAGGAAAAAGATGACAGCCAAACGCCAAGAGATACTCAAAGACAAGTCAGCTGTGCAAAGAGGCATCTCTTGTGATGGAAGCTTTTAGTATCTATTTGCTTAACAACTCTCAAATATACAATATAGTATTAATATAGTCACCACACCACAAACCACACCCATATGCTTGGAACCAATATGTTATATGTCAATTATATCTCAATTACAAAAAGAAAAAGAAAGAGAAAAAAAGTATTCATACCAATTTGTCTGTGAATGTGTGCTCATGCTTAGCACTGTTTCTCTTTGGATTCGGGTTCATGGTCCTGTTCCAGTTCTTCTCCAAATGCTCAAATTCTTCTTTCTCTAGTTCCTGTTTAAAGTCTCCATTCTTTAATTTTCTTCTCTTTTCCTTGTATATTCCCTTCCTTACAAATCTTATCTGCCTCCATGGATTCAACCATCACCTGAATGAATATGATTCTAAAAGGACATCTTTAGTCTCTGTTTTCCAAAATGAAATTACAAATTTCTAAATGCTCCCTGGACATCTCCATCTGGAGCTGGGCTCAAGGGATCTCAAATCAAACATATCAGCTTTGCTTCCGCACTTGCTGCTTCTCCCATAAAATGTTCTAGATCACCAATTTCACCATGTGTGTGGGTGGAGGGGTTTCCCCCAATGCTGTCAAGCAATTCTTGGCCAGCTGGGTGTCCTACAATTTGACTCAATTCATACACTATCTACCCAGAGACAGCATCAGATTCCGCAGAGTAAGAGCTCAGTCCTACAACACTGCCCTCCCTCCATCCCCCACCACTTCAGAAGTCAGTTGCAAGCCCAGGTTACCTGTGCTTCTGACCAACCAGTTATAGATTGGAAGTTCCCTTGGCCCCCACCTTGGACTTCAGATGCGAAACACAAGTCCAGATTGTTATCTGCACTTCCGACCAATGGGCTCTAAATCAGAGGTTCCCACAACCTCCTCCTCGGGTTCCATTAATATGCTAGAGTGGCTCACAGAACTCAAGATACATTTTACTTACTAGATTACAGGTTTACTATAAAAGGATATAATTCCAGAACAGCCAGACGGAAGAGATGGGTAGGGCAAGGTATGAGTACAGGGCGAGGAACTTCCACGTCCTCTCCTGGTGTGCACTCTTCCAGACACCCAAGTGTTCACCAAGCCAGAAGCTCTCTGAACCCTCTCCTCTTTGGATTTTATGGAGGCTTCATTAAATAGCCATGATTGATTAAATCACTGACAGCTGGCGACTGCTTCAACCTCCAGGCTTCCCCCTCCCCAGAGGTTGGGTGGGATTGAAAGTTCCAAGCCTCCAATCACAAGGTTGATTCTCCTGGCAACCAGTCCCACTCCTTAGGTGAAATAGAAAAGTCATTTCATTAACATAACAAGAGACACCTTTGTCTCTCTCAACACAGGAAATCCCAAAGGTTTGGGGAGGTATGAGTCAGGAACTGTGAAGACCAACTATATGAGAAATAGATATTTGGTTATCTAAATGACCAAACACATATTTTTCCTTACAAAGTACAATATCATATCCCATGTCTTCTATTTCTGCTAATAGTACAATCCTCTCAATCACGACTACCTCTCCCTGTGATGCACCCCACCCGTTGGCAAGTCCTGGTGATAACACCTCTCAGGCAAGGCAAAGGTCACACTCACTGTCACTGGTTCACTCCTTGATTAACCCTTCATTACCTCTGGCCTAGACTATTGGAATAGGGTCCCAAGAAGGTTCGTTCCATCCCTAACTGGTTCTTGAAAATATTGGAAGGTGATTTTGATGTCAAAGTTTGATTCTTCCTGTCTCTCCCTTTTTGAAATCCTTCTGGACTTCTCCCTTGCCTGTCAAACTTAGTTCAACCCTGTTTTTGTAAAAATACTCAGTTTACTGAGCACACTGTATGACAAGTACTTTGCATGTGTCATTTTCTTATTTCTCCAAAAAGCTTATAGAGTGTTTGTGTATGAAATACAGAATTACAGTCATGGAATATTAAAATATTTCCACCAATTGTGGATATACCATTGATTCAATAACCTCTTTTAGGTGATAAAGAAGTATTACACTAAATATACATATTGACTGTTAGGTTTTTCTTGATTTCAAAAACATTAAAATAAGAAAAAAATGTGACCCTTTGAAAAAAAGGAAATATACCACTATTCCAGTTTATGCCAAGCCAATACTCTTTCCAATTTACTATGGCCCCCTTTTTCTAAGCCTAGGGTTCGACTTTTTAGTCTTATTTCCCTCTTTTGTCTTTAGGTTCCTTCCGTCTACCCACTCTTACACCTTGACCTTCATTTCTCCTGCACCAGGAATTTCATTCCTCCTTATTCCATATGTCCATGCAGCCTGGTTCACACCACCTCTCCTCCATTAACTCTTTCCTGATTCCCTAAATGAGAACATCCTCTTATTCTTCTGAACGATCATACATTTTATCCTCTCCTATGAAACTACTCTTGGTACCTTGTGATTGGGCTATGTATACTTTTATCTCTCCACTAGAATGTAAGTTTCGTTGAGATCCAGACTGTAACTCCTGTATCTTTAAACAATTACCCCCAAAGACATCCTCCTGTCCTCCCTACAAAAACCAGCAACTTCTTGCATATGATAGGCTCTTAGAAAATATTTATCCACTGGATGACTAATCAGAGCACATTTGTGATTTTCCCTTTATCATTCGTTATGATCAAATGAAGACTGATGGTCCCCAAGCATTTTGCCACTACCCAGCCAAGTTAGGAGGTTTGGTACTTCAAGAAAAGTTAATTCTCCTGCCATAATCAAGTCACAACTTGAAAGGCCTACCCAGCTGCACTTTTTCTAAGTGATAGCCTTTTTATTTCTCTAAGATTAAAACTCTTCTTTGAAGGAGGCTCTGCAGAACTTAGGCTAAACCAACCTTCCTTTTAAAAATATACAATCTTTCTAAGTAAACACACACACACACACACACACACACACACACACACACACACACAAAACAAAACAAAACAAAAAACACCAGAAGAAATGCTTGTGTGCTAAAGTAGAAATTTACTGTCATTTTGTTCTTGCCATTGCCTGGAGGGGAAGTTGTTGTGGGAAACCTAAATATTTTGTGCTCTTGGCCCTTGCCTTGGCATTTCATAGGAAAGTATTACAGGTAAAAAAAGTATTTCATCGGCATTTGTTTGCATTCCTGATTGTTACCGTCTCAAAAATTGGTAAGTGATTTTGTATAGATTTGTGTTTATTTATTTTGAGAGAGAAAGAGAGAGTGCGTGTGCAGGAGAGGGGCAGAGAAAAAGGGAGAGAGAATCCCCAGCAGGCTCCTGGCTGTCAGCACTGAGCCTGATGCAGGGCTCGAACCCACAAACTGTGAGACTCTGACCTCAGCCAAAACCAAGAGTTGGATGCTCAACCACCTGAGCCACCCAGGCACCCGTGTTTGTTTATGTTTTACAGGATATAGCAGAATCCTGTAACCATCTACCACTAAAACTCATCATTTCAGTAGTAGAGCTTGCAAACAATTTTAACCACATTTTCTTATTTAGTTCTCAAAACAACTTGATGTAGGTATTAATATACACATTGTTGGAATGGATCAATTGAGGCTCAGCATTGTTAAAGAATACTTTCGCCCAAGGTCATATAGATAATAATGGCAGAGGTTAGGGTTGAATACAGATCTCCTTATTCCAGACCTTGAACATTATTCATAATTGTACAAGGGAGCTCAGATGAGAAACTGGTGTTTTTAAATAGGAGACCATTTATGAAAGAGTCTGACAAAGTGCTGGTATGCCCTGACCTTTGAAAACACACCAAGAATGAATGATTCTGAAAGCCTAAGTGTGGGCATGCAGGAATCTGTGTGACTTTAAAATGTTACCTCATCCTGTAAAAAAAATAAATAAATAAATAAATAAAATAAAATGTTACCTCAGCCCATGACTGCTCAGATTCTGAGGAAATCAGAATTCTCTACCCTCTCAAATCTCTTTTATGGGGTGCTGGGTGTCTCAGTCAGTTATGTGTCAGACCTTCAATTTCGGTTCAAGTCATGATCTCACTGTTTGTGAGTTTGAGCCCCACATCAGGCTCTGTGCTGTCTGCACAGAGCCATCTTGGGATTCTCTTTCTCCCTCTCTTTCTCCCCCCCCCCCCCTGCTTTCTCTCTGTCAAAATAAATAAATAAACTTAAAAAAAAATCTCTTCAAGTTCTCCTGTTTCCAGCTATCTGGCTGGAATTCGTGTCACAAGAAAATAGGCAATTTATGTTAACCTCATAGCTCAATTTCTGAAAATTTTTCAACATCACAAATCCAGGTAAATGGTGATAAGATGTGAGAATCCAAGGGCTAGATCAATGTTTTCCCAATCTTTCAAGGGAAACAGTTCTCTATCTATACCCTCAACCAACATATTGATTTATGAAAAGCCACCCACAGCCAGGGAGAAAATGATGGCACCGATACTCAGGCCCACCTTGTCTAACCCCAAAGTACACTTGTGTGCCCTCCAGCCATCTTCCATTCTCTGTTTACCAAGATTAGGATTGTTATTTGGCTAATAATTGTTAAAAATGAAATGGGGAACCACAAGTTTTCGGATGACACCAAGACAATCTTTGAAACAAACTGATGTTCATTGGCTAACGCTGGGTAATTTCACAAAAATGTATGAAATATGTTTAATCTTTATAAGGATCTAAAGAGATGGGCATACCTATCCCCATTTTATGAATGAGGATGCTAAGGGTCAGCAAGGTTAAATATTCACCCAAGATCACACAACTAGAAAGTGTTGAAGTTGGGATCCAAACTCTCTTTCTTCCAAGTCTGTGTTGTTAATGATTCTACTACACTCCTTCTCAGATCTATTTTTTTATGTAACATTAAGATAGAGATGAAGTTCAGTATAATACTTCACCAGATTGTCTTTACAAGGATCCAATAAATGTGGTAACAAAAGACAACGAATGACCCAGACTCCCTCACACACTGGCTTCCATTTCCTCCCTCCTCTCTGGAGTTACTCTTAAATTCTTAGTCACAACACTGTATGTACATGTCTAACACACTGAACCGTAAAAATGACAAAACAACAATTCAAACATTCTGTTATTTTGAAGAAAACAACAATATATCAAGGATACTCTGAGATCTAATTGAGTGACAGACTTCTCCTAGACTGGTACAAGGCCAACTTGCTCATCATGCTCACTAAACCTCTAAACCTGTCTTTCATCAATTCCTGTGGTTCTAGGCCACTCACCAAGACCAAAAAGTTGATCACTTCAAGAAAACATACCCACAACAACATGCAATCTTGTTTTCTAGTAATTCCCAGATTGGTTTAGGCAAGTTGAGAGGACACTAAAGAAAGGAGAAACTTAGCACTTCAATTGCTTATGGTGAAACTGGATGACAGAGGGTATAGTTGGTCTTTGGGCACGGTGCTTCCATCTTTGCATAAGAGTACTTGTCTAAGTAATTATTTGAGCATTTTTATGGGTTTTATCCATACACATTCATAAAAGTGGGGCTGACAATGGAAAAATACATACTGATACTACGATAAGAAGGATAAATCTCAAAGAATTAATACAATTAAGATGAAAATGGGAAAACAGTGGCCAAGTCAAAAGCAGAGAAACCTTTGCCTCAGTTGGATGATAGCTGGACTTTAGCCAGGACTCCAGGTATCCAGTGGTGAAGGGAAAGAATTAAATGAGAGAGCACAAACCAAATTCTAGAAACACACAATTAAAGATTATTTCTAAATACAAGGTGTACTCAGGGATTTTATAGCACTTTTAGTTTTTTGGTCCCAAGATGCTGTTTACAATAGGCAAACCTATTATTTGAGTCTTGCAGATTTATATCTATTTGCAGGAATGCATTATGTACAGATGTACATAGAAAACTACCTGTACCTAGTTGTTTTGTCTCTATGCCCATTTGTTTAAGCTAAACAAAAAACAAACAAACAAAAATTGGACATCAGAGTGGTGAAGGCTGCAGAACATGTACACAAAAACCCAAGCAACTTCAGATTCAGGAGCTGGAGCAAACATCCCAACTTCTGCATGGGGAAGGGCCGAGGTCAGTGCAGCTGCAAACCAGCCTCCAGCAGGGGCTCAGGCACAGGCAGGTGGCACTGCTTGATGGACAGAAGGCTGTCAGGATTGCTGCTTGCTTTCAGATGTTGTGGGGAAAAGAAACTAGATACATGAATTGCATTTAAGTTCACTTTTTTTTTTTTTTTAAGTAGGCTTCCGGCCCAGCGGGGAGCCCAGTGAAGGGCTTAAACTCATGACCCTGAGATTGAGACCCAAACTGAGAT